TTGCTTTATTACTTTACGGCCGCTTTTACTTCACGGCCGCTTTTATTTTACGGCCGCTTTTACTTTACGGCCGCTTTTACTTTACGGCCGCTATATACTTTGGTGAAAATATATAAACAGACAATCGGAAACGCGGTCCGTAACTATAAACACAACCAATAAATAGTTAGCAACCACAATGGAACCAAATTTTTGATTTTAGCCCTATCCTATTACTTTTTCAAAAAAGCACAATATAGTATACCATGCGAAAAAGTCGGCAATTTTCTATAATCACACTTCCCTTATTGTAGTTTTTGTTACTAATAATTATGTACCTACCTATCTTTGCTGGATTATTTATCTAATCAATAAAAAGTTAAAGCTCCTGTTGAATTTTCGTCTTTTTTCAAGAAAAAACACTCGCCTAAAAAATTTTGTGTGCACCTCGGCCGAATGATCTTTTTTGGCCTCACCTGAAATTTGCTTGGCCTCGGCTACGCCTTGGCCGCAAATTTCTGATTCGGCCAAAAAAGATCAACTTTACGGCCTTGGTACACAAATAACTATTGTTTTTATCGAGGGGTTAATCATTCCTCCAAATCGTGTCACAAATTCGTCCGAAATCCCCGAAATCGTACCGAAATCTCTGAAATTCACGAAATCACTCCGAAATCTCTCAGAAATCTTTCCGCAGACCCAAAAATCCCTCGCAATTGGCCCAAAATTCGTAAATCGGTCAACGCGGCCGTTTTTCAGTTTCTACTAATACACTTGTGAATATACTTATAAGTCTAAAATTAAATTAAAATATTTGCGAAATCACCTGAAATTTTCCGAATCACCCGAAATCTTTCGCAATTACTTGAAAACCTTCGAAATCACCTGGAATCCTTCGAAATCACCCGAAATCCTTCGAAATCAACCGAAATCCTTCGAAATCAACCGAAATCCCTCAAAATCGCTGTAAATCTGAAATCTTGTTACAGTGAATAATCCCTCAAAATCTTTCCGAAATCTTACCGAAATCCTCCGAAATCACCCAAAATCCCACAAAATCGATCTAAATCCGAAATCTTGTCACATTTTTCCCTTAGTAAATAACCCCTCGGTTTTTATATATAATATTTTCAAAAGAAAAATAACTGGGGTCAAAAATGAACATCACCAACTTCAAGAACTGTACCAGATCCATATAAGTGAAAGTGCAAATGGTGTCCCAATATTTTTCAATAAGGCTCAACCCTAGTTGTTTAGGTATGTTGGTGAACAGTGATGTGATGTCTAGGGATACAAGAATGTAACCTTTAGCTACTACAAAGTTCTTGAGCTTCTCAACAAAAACATAGGAACAAATGTCTGTATGTTTGAGGTGGATTTATAATATTACCTTGCATTTTTTGGGACTTACATCTCAATTGAAATTAATACCAGAAGTTTCTTGATCTTGATACGAATTACTACAAGCTCTCTGATTAGAGCAATTTTACCTATCAGATTATTTTTATAATATAAAATACTCGAATCGACTTTTTATAAACGAATCGAGTTTTATTATTTTAGTAAAATATTACTTGATTAAGCTTGGAGGTATGAGTTCTGGATTTTTTGCTGACATTTCGGTACCAAAACTGCTACCATTGTCGAAGCTTGGGGGATGGAACACCTAAGTACCACATAGGAGTTTTTAACTTCATACTGGAACGTGGAACTCATTGCCCAATATTTTAGCTACAAAGCTAGAGATATTATATGTGGGTGACAATGTACAGGATACAACAGGAGTAGAGGTGCATTGGCCTTGTGAATCTCAGGTAAACCATAAATTTTGGGTGAGACTGAGTTATGAGTCATGTATCTCTTAGTGGAGTCAGAATCAATTATAGGCAATGAGACCATCCTATCTGGTTGGATTTGTTCTCCAAAGTGTTTGTGGGGTAAGTGGGGTTTTTGTTGAATTTCATGTAAGTATCAATGTTCAATAATATAATCAGTCTTATCAATAATAACTGTAAGGGTGGGCCAAATTGGACACTTTCTTATGGAAACACCCTTTATTTTTAGGGATAGAAAAAAATGGACCCCCCACTCTGAGGCTCAAATTTTATGAAATCTTGATTGGTGCAAACCGCATTTTGATATCTTCAACCGTTTAACCGCTGGAGAGCGATTCTCGATTTTGAGCAATACTGTAAAGCCTCCATAACTTTTTTGTTTATGAAAATAATTAATTGCCGTAAAGACCTTTTGGAAGCACTTTTTCAAGCAGAATTCAGTGACGTTCTCAGTTTTTTTCGGTTTGGCTTCGATTTCGAGATATTGACCAAAAGCAGATATTTTTCAATAGGACACCCTATATATTAATAGTTCATTTTTTTTTTTTTTTTTTTTTTTTTTTTACGGATATGCGCACTTGCAAGAGGAAATGTCCTATCACGCTCGAGAAGCGGCAAGTGCGCGGAAATGTCGGTGTATGTTGGTCTTGAAACGGTTCAGGTTGTAACCTGCAGGGAAAACCGTCGCAGGGAGTTTATTCCACAGCGATGCTGTTCTCCAGAGATATGAATTCTGATATAATGAGGTTCTTGGTGCCTCTAGTTTGACAGTAAATTCATGGTTACCGTCTGTTTGACGGGTTCGCCTGGTAGGTGCTACTCTCGGTGGAATCATACGTGCCAACTCTCATTAGAAAGCTATGCTTTCGCTGATTTCAATGATATAAGGTTCGATGGGTTTATCTCTAACAGTTTTCGAGAAAAAAAATTATTTCGGTTTTTGTCATAAGAAACAATGTGTTAGAAAGAGACCTCTCTCAGTTTCCTTACAGAGATAAAGTCCTTTTCCAACACATTGTGTCTTATGACAAAAATCGAAATAATTTTTTTCTCGGAAACCGTTGGAGATAAGCCTATCGAATTTTATATCATTGAAATCAGCAAAAGCAGAGCTTTTCAATGAGCTATTAATATATAGGATGTCCTATTGAAAAAAATCGGATTTTGGTCAATATCTCGGAATCGGAGCCAAATAGAAAAAAGCTGAGAACGTCACTGAATTCCACTTAAAAAAGTGCTTGCAGAAAGTCTATACAGAAATGAATTATTTTCATAAATAAAAAAGTTATGAAGGTTTCACAGTATTGCTCCAAATCGAAAATCGCCCTCTAGCGGCTAAACGGTTGAAGGTATCAAAATGTGGTTTGCACCAATCAAAATTTCATAAAATTTGAGCCTCAGAGGGGGGGGGGTTCATTTTTTTCTATCTCCAAAAATAAAGGGTGTTTCCATAAGAAAGTGTCCAAATTGGCCCACCCTGTACTGTTTCCTTTATCAGATCTAGAGACAATAAGATGGGGGTTATTCTTGAGAAACCTTCTTGCTTTTTGATAATCTATGTCATACTACTTAGGTACTGACTGATTTTGTTTGTATGCTTTAATCCATTAAAGTGATTAGTAATTATATTGGTACATGTTGCTATGAGTGAGTTCTTATCTGTATTCTGTGGAAAATTCTGAATGCAATACTCATTATCCTTGATGATTTCAAAAATTGGAAAATCCTTACTATTATGTGATATGTGAATTTTAGGGCTTAAGGCTAGTAATCATTTTGAACAATCAGGAATGTTTATGTCAGTAAGATTCATCAACCATTTATCAGGGGTGACCAAAATATTTTTCTGCTGTGAGTTAAATCTATGGATCTTATTTAACTGGTTAAATTTAATCATATTAAAAACCTTATCATATCTCTTTTTCAATGAATTTTGGAAATCAAGATATACTTTTCAGGTAGAAACTCTTCAGCACGGGCCATTTTTTGATTAATTTGTCTCTTTAATTTTACTGATGTATCATGTGCAATTTTAATTTCCAAGTTAAGTACCTATATCATTTTTTTCTACATTAAATAAATTCTTTTATTCTGTTTTTATTTTGATAGGAGAACGATGAACTTTTTGTACATTTTCATTGTTGAAATAGGCTCCTTTATGTGTGAAAGAAGTAAATTACATATTAATTTATGATATAAAGTAAGGAGCGGACTAAATCATAAGTTTTAGGACCCTATTCAAGCCGCTACCTACCAAGTGTTTTGGTGAAATATGTTGAAACTAGGTTTACGCTTCTCTCCATTTAGGTATTATACCTACAATGCTTACTCTTTTTTTGTGTGTGTTCGTATTCAAACTAAAAACTAAGCTCAAAGAAGCCTAAGTAGGTAAGCAGCAAAGAAAAAAAAAGGACCTTACTAGAAAGATTCCTAATGAATTATAGAAAATCTACAACTGGAAAATCCTCGGGTAAATCTTTGGGAAATTGCCAGTGAAAGTACCATTTTGGAAGGAGAAGACAATAATATACAAAACTCAAATAGGGAAGAGAACAACAACTAGAAACCAGGCTGAGGAAAACGTGGAATAAAAAAGATGAACTACAAGCACAAAAAGGGAGGAAGAAGGAAGTGAATGTTGAAGAAAATGAAATGGTCAATGATCACATATCACAAAAAAATCAGCCTTATGGAATCATTTTGGAAAAGTCACACAATACAAAACGTAGACCCTCATGTAGACCACAAACTGCTTCCGAAAACTGACTAAAGTCCACACAATACATAACACAAGCATTGCTAATTGCGATTCGATTTCAATTTCTACCATAAACAAATAAAGTTAATTATAGGAATTTCCGTTGAAACATGAAAGTAGAAAGTCTATTTTTAAACGCCGTTAAAAAAATGCGGTAGAAAATCAATCGGGTGTATAGTATAACCAATGCTTCGCTGCCCGGGAATCCTGATTCAGATTCCTAGGTTATAAATATAAATAATAATGATCTCTAGGACTAAAAATTATTAACAATAACCTAGGTTTTTTTGGTTGGGAAGAAATACTTCATTATTAAAAAGTAGGTAATTTTTTGCTTATCTTTGTGATAAAAAAACCAAGGATTTTTCAATAAAATTACCAATTAAACTGTACGGAAACATTTACAGAATCGATCTTCTCATATTTACCTGAATAAAAGTTTGTGAAGAAGCAATGAAAGGCACTTTTAACAACGAAAACTTAAAATTTCTTTGGAGAAAATAAAAATAAATGGGTGTATATTTCCTCTAAACTGTGGTACCCCCTACTTTTCTATAAAAAAAAAGCAAGATTCGCGCAAGGCGGCAAGATGTGAGAAGTGTCAAAGTTCAATTCAAACCGGGCGTTCGGTATTTTGATCTGAGTTCTCCGAGCTTGAATTTACCGTTCTTTTATTTAAAAAGTTTACTCGGTGCAGGCTCATTCGCGTTCTATTATTCAAATTTCGGGTACTCTGAAACAGTGTTCAACTGCTCTGTTCGTTCGCTGGTAACGTGATTACGGCTCCGCTCAGCATGCTCTGCTCCTTGAGCAAAATACCGAACGCAAGGTGAAGTGAGTAGAGATGGGCTGTTAGTTGTTATAACTTGATTCTGAAGTAGTTCTATCGGTTCTGGAATCAGAAATAGTTCATGCTATACGCATTTTTAAATTTAATGTGGCTTTTTCCAAAATTTTTGTGTGGTGGAGTTTGCTATCTCTTACAAAAGGGCTATTGTGAAATATAAGGTGGGTTCAGCTTGCTCTCTCCGTGCACTCCGAGTGACTCCATTCGCACTCCAGCCGTTCGGGTTAAGGTTCGGGTATTGCTTTTTACCGTAATAGGGGTGTCTCCATTAGCTCTGTTCACTCCACTCCAACTCCGCGCTGAATAGCCGAACCCAGCTATAATAGTTGTATTCCTTTCACACCTATGAGGAGCTCCGGAACTGCTCCGGGGCGTTATGCGCTCATTCCTTTCGAAAAGTGTTTGTTGCACCTGAGTACTCAAGCCCGAAGTAAACCATTTAAATGCTTTCAGCGCATCTATTACTTTCAAATCGGGGCGACTAACACCAGAGCGAGTAGCTTTAGCGTTTCAAACTCTTGAAAGGAATACAGCTATTATAAAATATTAGTAATAAAGGCTGAGTTCGGCTTTGCACTCCACGGAGCGGAACAATATGAGCATGGATATCGTGAAGTCATACGCGGTCATAAGCCGAACGTAAAAGGGAACACTCTGAGATCTAAGGCCCGTATTCATAGTCGAAGCTCAAGATTGCGTCTTGGCTCAAGTACGAGTTGACGCCACGTTTACGTTTCCAAAAAGCACGGAACGATGCTCACAACTGTCAAAAATCGGAGCTTGAGTCAAGCACCTGTCTATGAATACCGGGCTAAAACGAACAGGATCAATCGTTTCGAGCGCGCTCGGAGTTTACCGAGCGTAAAGCCGAACTCAGTCAAAGTGTGTGAAGTTGAAGATCGCTTTTGAACGCTTTCTTTAGAAACTGGTGCGGCACTTTTCAGATGGATGGCTCTGGGCAAACTTCGAGGTCAGGCACCTACACGTTTGGTCCGCTTTCTTTTGATTTATGGCTGTTTGTAAAAAGCATTAGATACGGACGACCTGCTTGCTCCTTGCACTCTAAGTACTCCGACTGATTGGAATGATCGGATTTCGGATTTTTAAAATGTCATATGGATTACGCTACAGGAATCGACTAGAGGCGATATACAATCATTTCGAAAAAGCTTTCTCGATGTTGGTGTTCGTGCATATCGATAATCTTGCAAAAGAAAAACATCCTTAAGCCTAGTACTCATAACTGCGAAATTCGCATTTTTTTGACTTCGACAATTTGAAGTTTGATACACGCATAGAACGTCAAATTGTCAACGCAATGTCAAAAAAATGCGAATTTCGCAGTTATATGAGCCGCTTTCCAGTGCCTAAATTGTTAGAGTATCATGCTCCTGAAGTGTGACGCTCTTGAACTGTTCGACATAAGCAGCACTGGAACGCTCTCGTCTTAACCCCCACCATTTCCGATTTCAGGAGCATTAAACACAGATAAAAGGGTTGGTGCACGAGGGGGCAGGGGATAACAGAAATGAGTAGTTCAAGTGTACGACACTCTAAGCACTGGAACGCGCAAAGCAATTGTGGAGCACTCCTGAGCTGCTCAGGAGTAACTCAAATGGGTCACTGGAAAGCACCTCTGGCTTTAAACGTCATATATTTGACAGTAGTTGACATGCATCTGTGATTTCAAATAGAATTCTACGAACAAAATCATTGACATAGAGATAGAATTCTATTTAATCTTTATTTTGATGATTGTGAGACCGAGACTGAACTGTGTGGGTTTTGTGTTTTGTTTGTTTCCTTTATTTTTATTTCAGCAATCCAAGTATCCCCTTCTGAATGTTTGTTTCGCTTCGGTGATTCCCAGAAAAAAAATATGGGATGCTGACTCGAGGGGGTTGGATAAAATTTGCATCTCCCACGCTCTAGGCGAAATATAAAATAAAAACTGATGATTTCATTTTTAGTATGCCACTTGCTCTCATAGTAGTGAGACGAATGTTCAATGATTAATATTACTCCGTTATAATTTATTATTGTTTTAACTATTTATTAGTAATGATGTCAATTTTTATAAAATCTGTTTTTGTGATATCTGCTTTTGGAATTGGCACAGCGAATCAATTGAAGAAATTACAGGTATGAGTATGATATAGTTTTTATATTATTTGTGTCTTGTGTATTTTACTAATTATGGTTTGTTATCTGTCTGTGACCCAGTTTGGGGATTCCTTAAACTAGTAACGGAACAGATAAAATTTATGTGTCATCGTTAATAAGTAACCTTTCTATTTCAAGGGGAATCCCAATTACAATAATTTATGCTGTAATCATTTATATAATTCTTACTTATGTATACATTAGGTAGAAGCAGCATTCAAAACGAGGGATTTTTCACCTTCTTAATCGGTATACAAACCACTAGTTAATATAAGTATGTAGTATGTCAATACCAGGTAAATACTATGTCAATAGTGTCAATACTATGCAATACCTACTTGTTAATTATGTAGGTAATATGTCAATACTTGTAGATATCTAGGCAATATATGTTAATGTCATTCGTTGATACCCATTAATAACATGTACATACCTGTGGATATGTCAATACCTAGAATTCTGGACCTGTGTGATTGTGAAGTTAGCACCCCGCTCGAGTACGCCAAAGTGTGAAGTTAGAAAAATGGTGTTTCACGTTCAAACTTGGAAAGATGCTTGTTCAAGGGATGCTTTATCCCTCAAAAGGAAAATTCCTTGCCAGCCATCAAACTTAGGAAAATCATCCCTCACATGAAAAAATATTGAAAATTTCATATTTTCTTATTTTTTCTTCAGACACCTAGATGGTGTTTCACGTTCAAATTTGGAAGGATGCTTGTTCGAGGGATGCTTTATCATTCCTCAAAAGGAAAATTCCTTGCCAGCCGTCTAACTTAGGAAAATCATCCCTTGTATGTGAAAATATTGAAAAATTCATATTTTCTTAATTTTTCTTCAGACACCTAGATGGTGTTTCACATTCAAATTTAGAAGGATGCTTGTTCAATGGATGCTTTATCATCCCTTAAAAGGAAAATTAGGAAAATTCCTTGCCAGCCGTCAAACTTAGGAAAATCATCCCTTGTGTGTAAAAATATTGAAAATTTCCGAGAAAATTTCATATTTTCTTATTTTTTCTTCAGACACCTAGATGGTGTTTCATGTTCAAATTTAGAAGGATGCTTTTTCATTCCTCAAAAGGAAAATTCCTTGCCAGCCGTCAAACTTACGAAAATCATCCCTTGTATGTGAAAATATTGAAAATTTCATATTTTCTTATTTTTTCTTCAGACACCTAGATGGTGTTTCACGTTCAAATTTGGAAGAATGCTTGTTCGAGGGATGCTTTATCATTCCTCAAAAGGAAAATTCCTTGCCAGCCGTCAAACTTAGGAAAATCATCCCTTGTCTTGTATGTAAAAATATTGAAAATTCCTGAGAAAATTTCGTATTTTCTTATTTTTTCTTCAGACACCTAGATGGCGTTTCATGTTTAAATTTAGAAGGATACTTGTTCAAGGGATGCTTCATCATCCCTCAAAAGGAAAATTTCTTGCCAGCCGTCGAACTTAGGAAAATCATCACTTGTATGAAAAAATATTGAAAATTTCATATTTTCTTATTTGTTTAACAGCTGGCAAGGAATTTTCCTTTTGAGGGATGATGAAGCATCCCTTGAACAAGCATCCTTCTAAATTTGAACGTGAAACACCATCTAGGTGTCTGAAGAAGAAATGAAAAAATGAAATGAAATGAAAATATAAAATTTTCAATATTTTTTCATACAAGGGATGATTTTCCTAAGTTTGACAGCTGGCAAGGAATTTTCCTTTTGAGGGATGATAAAGCATCCCTTGAACAAGTATCCTTCTAAATTTAAACATGAAACACCATCTAGGTGTCTGAAGAAATGGGATGATAAAGCATCCCTCGAACAAGCATCCTTCCAAATTTGAACGTGAGACATCATCTAGGTGTCTGAAGAAAAAATAGGAAAATATGAAATTTTCAATATTTTTTCATACAAGGGATGATTTTCCTAAGTTTCACGGCTGGCAAGGAATTTTCCTTTTGAGGGATGGTGAGACATCCCTTGAACAAGCATCTCTTCAAATTTGAACGTGAAACACCATTTAGGTGCCTGACAAAAAAATAAGAAAATATGAAATTTCCAATAATTTTACATACAAGGGAAGATTTTCCTAAGTTTGACGGCTGGCAAGGAATTTTCCTTTTGAGGGATGATAAAGCATCCCTTGAATAAGCATCCTTCTAAATTTGAACGTGAAACGCCATCTAGGTGCCTGAAGAAAAAATCAAGGAAAAAATAAGAAAATATGAAACTTTCAATATTTTTACATACAAGGGATGATTTTCCTAAGATTGACGGCTGGCAAGGAATTTTCCTTTTGAGGGATGATAAAGCATCCCTCGAACAAGCATCCTTCCAAATTTGAACGTGAAACATTATCTAGGTGCCTGAAGAAAAAATAAGAAAATATGAAATTTTCAATATTTTTTTCATACAAGGGATGATTTTCCTAAGTTTCACGGCTGGCAAGGAATTTTCCTTTTGAGGGATGATAAAGCATCCCTTGAACAAGCATCTTTCCAAATTTGAACGCGAAACACCATTTTTCTAATTTCACACTTTTGCGTGCTCGAGCGGCGTGCTAACTTCACACCGGTGAATTCTGGCAAGACAAATATTTGATTTTAGTCTGTCAATAGCATGGCAATATCTGGTAATATATGATAATACTAGGGAAATACCTGGCAATATGTGGAAATATTTTTTTATAACATGGAAATAGTTGCAATAAATTGTTATTAGGTACATAGAAATATCTGTTAATACATAAAAATATCTCAGTTACTTAGTACCTAATGTTAATCAGTGTGCAAATTTTGCTAGGTGAAAAACCCCTCGATTCAAAACTAACTAATTAAAATTAGGAAATCCAAAAGGAAGACAACAGTGTTGGCACTGGCAGCTAAACCCAACAGTTTTTGTACCCAAAAGTGATAGAAAAAATCTCTCCTCTATATTTACAACTGGGTTTTTGTATGCAAAATTTCAAGGGGTCAACCACTCTGTAAAAATTTGTACACGTATTGCGAAAATGTCGGTATTTCGCAAGTATTTCGCGAAATTCAAAGTATTTCGGTGGTGGTAATTCGAACCTAGTTTTTTGTGGTATTGCCGAGTACTTCGAAGTATTTGCAGGTAATTCGAAGTATTTCGCGGTAAGCCGAGGTATTTTGAGCTATTTAATTTTTTTTTTTTATGTTCCAAGAACAATTAATTCATTATCATTTAAAATTGGAATATTAGGTATAGAATGAAAATTATAGTCAATCTTTGAACAGGCTAAATATGTTGACATACTTTGAATTTACTGAAGAGTAATTGAAACAAATGGAAGGATATATTAAGTATATACCTGATTGTGTATTAGTAATCAATATCAGCTCGAATGTCAGTTAGTTAATAGGTCTATTTCTGCAGAAATCACAAACCAGTCAGAGCGAATATCATTGGTTGAAAACAGTCAGAAACAGTCAGAAAACTAGTTTCAACCAATGAAATTCACTCTGACTGGTTTGTGATTTCTGCATAAACGGACCTAAAAGTACAGGATCATCCAATGATGACTGATCAGAGGATTATTTTTGACTTTCCCTGTATTTTTGAGAAAATTTAAAATAGCCAATTGCAAATTTTTTCTCTGGAAAATTCAAAAATGGTACCAAAAAATTCCTTGCACCAAAAACCAAACAGTTACTTACGCCATGGATGAGCTGTTTTTTAAATGAAACACCCCTCGGGAACACCCTGTTTTTTGTATGATTTTTGGAGGAGTCGCATTTTTTCACATCTATTCTGTTGAAAATATTTGATATTCCGATAGCTAATAAAATAAAAACTATTTTATTTTAATGTTTTTTTTTTTAAATTAGTTTTTGCTTTACCTGTTTAATACATGGCAACAAAATACAAAGATTAGGTATACCTTTATCTCCTATGAACCAATTAAATCGGCAATCGGAATATCAAATATGCATGTTCAACAGAATAGACGTGAAAATTGAGACTTTTCCTAAAATCATACAAAAAAACACGGCGTTCTATTTAATGGGGTAACTCTGGTTTTTGGTTCAGACGATTTTTTGGTACATACCATTTTTGAATTCTCCAGAAAAAAATATTCCAATTGACTATTTTGGATTTTCTGAAAAATACAGGGAAAGTCAAAAATTGCCCCTGTTCAGTACTTACTCGTTGGATGACCCTGTACCTCACCATTGTAGAACTAACAGTCACCTGCATCACTAACTATTGCTTTAATTGCCTATCCTGTGTTTCCAAATAAAATCCATCATATCAAAAGACACAAAAAACAGAGCAAAAATACTTCACTGCGATCTGCAAGAAGAATCGTTTTCAACGATAAATTTTTTAGCAGTATTGCGGTACTTCGCATGGTAATTCGAGGGTATTTTGCGTAATTCGACGGTAATTCCATGGGATTTCGCGTACTTCGACGGGAATATCTGGTATTTCGAGGTACTTCAAGGTATTTCTAGGTACTTCGAAGTATTTCGGAGGTAATTCGGGCCTAATGTACACGTATTTCGGGAAGTGGTTGACCCCTCGCAAAATTCATAGAAAAACGGCTTGTCTATGGAACATAACTAATGTTTATTCCATAACACAAAATTATAGAATCATAAGTACTTACCTACCATCTCTCCTTTATACTTACAACTTACAACTAGGTTTTTGTATGCAAAACTCATAGAAAAATGATTCCTCTATATTCCTAAAAATAGGCAGATGGAAGATAACTGATGTTTATTCCATAACACAAAATCATAGAATCATAAGTACCTACCTCGGTACCTACTTACCTTCCATTTTTAATAGGTCCTGAAACAAGTCCATCATCGACAAATAAATTAAAAATCATGGTTTTATTTTCTTATTATTATAATGTCCAAATGTCTTCAGAAATAAGAAAGATTAATTTAGCACATACTTGATGACTCGCTTGATGAAATTCGTGAAGTTGAAAAAGGACTTTCACGAGGACTTTCATTTTTCATTTTGCTCTGCATATCACAATTTGTTTCATTGATTATATCACACATTCTACTATAGGAGGTGAGGTAAACTGCCTATTAGTTCTTGGTGTATCATAAGTCAATATCTGTGACTGTCTAGTTCTCAAATCTGGTACTCTTATATTTATCAGCCTCAACAGGTATTCATCTTTCACTTGATAATGAAGAAGTTTATATAAAAACATTACATTAAAATATTTTCTTCTTACATGTAACCTACTGTAACCATGTTGGATACACAACACATCATACGGTACATCAACTGGGTAAACCCCAAATCTCTTAAAGTGTAATCTTTTCAAAAAATTTTTTTTGACAATTTTCTATTGCATGGATTGACCTCTGATAACATGGGTCCCATACAACTGATGCATATTCTAGCTTTGTCCTAGCTAGTGAATCATACAAAAGTTTTACTGTAGAAATGCCCATATCTTTTGTGTTACAATAGATAAACCCTATAATCCTAAGTGCCTCACCCACTATTTTGTCTAATTAAGACATATGGCAAATTCGCCTGTATTAATTTATCAATTAGTATTTCTCTATTGACTCTATCAAAGGCCTTTTCAAAAGCCAGGTAAGCCACATGGACATCTCTGAACACCTCAAGGGAATCTGACATATATGGCTAAAGGTTATTAGGTTTCTGGATGTTGATTTGCCTTGCATAATTGCATGTTGCTTTGATGCGAGGTCATTTGAGCATTCTGAGAGAATACGAGTGTACAACGCTGATTCAAACACTTTTGAAAGTGCGTCAATATACCTATTGCTCTATAATTCTCTATATTACACTTATTGCCGTTTTTAAAGATTGGACAGACCTTGCTTAACTTCCAAATTTCAGGATATTTTCCTTCTTTCATGCCTAAGTTAAATATTGTAGTGAGTATTGGCGCGAAAATAAACTAGCAGTCTTTTACTACAAAAGCTAGAACATTATCTAGTCCCATAGTTTGTTTTGGTTTTAAATTATTTAAAGCATTCATGACTTCTTGTTCACTCACTCCAAATCCGGAGTCTAACAAGTGAGTCATACAGAGTGTTTCAATGCTCTCATCTCTGTCAACTTTGGTTTTATTGTTATCACTTCTTTGTTTATAAAGTATTTCCTTAACTTCTCACTGGCATTAGTTTAATATATTCTATTCCTGTTTTTCTTTTTCAGCATAATCATACTCCTCAACGCCTACCAAACGGCGACATACGTCAATTAGTCACCCAATCGAATATCAAATATTTCAACGAAATAATAGACAACATACTCATACCGAGAGTAGTAGGAACAAAAAATCACGAAAAAGTCTTCGACTACATTACATCCGAACTAGACAAGTTGGGATGGAATGTGGAAGTTGATGAATTTGAAGAGGACACTCCCAAATTAGGCAGGCTTACTTTTAAGAATATTGTGGGGGTGCTGAATTCTAACGCCGATAGATATTTGGTTCTGGCTTGTCATTATGATAGCAAGTATTTTGAAAGAGAAGTTTTTGTTGGTAAGTATAAACAGTGACCTGCAGATTTTGCTTATAAAAATTATGACTGTTCAATTTGTTATTACACAATGGTATGAAAAAAGTCAACCTTAATAATTGATATTTCATTGTGTTTGGTAATTTTTATTATTGCAAAAATATAGGTTCAAGCAAGATAAATCTGTTTTCGTTTTCGTCACGATAAAAACCCCCATAATGTTTCGACATTGGAATTTTTCAGACGTTTTCATGCATAATAAGTAACTTATTTGTATTCATAGAGTTTTATATTTTGTATAATCTTTTACGCTCTCCATTTTTTTGGTCCATATTTAGAATAATTATTACAAAAAAAAACCACTGTATGATGCTGATGTAGTTTCTAATCTTAATAATTTGATCAACACCTAAGCTTCTTATGATTTGGTTCCTCTTAGGTATAGGCAAGGGGTAAACCACCATCCCAGAATTTGTGCAAACAATTCCTCAAAGGGGAATTTTTTATGCATAATTCCTGAAAATTCCTGAAAATTCCCCACAAATTCCTCCAGATATTCCATCAACCTACAATAACCAAATGAATTGAAAATACAGTCTCACACATTTCAAAGTTTTCCCGGAAAACTAGTGAAGGGAAAATTTTGAAACTTTTTGCATGTAAAGAAGAAGGTGAGAAGATCATTCTCCCAAAATTTCCAACTTTTCCAGTGGAAAACAGCAACATGAAAAATCTTGGAAATCAACCTACAAAAATTGAATCAGTTGAAAATACAGTCTCACATATTTCAAAGTTTTTCTGGAAAACTAGTAAAGGGAAAATTTTGAAAGTTTTTGCATGTAAAGAGGGAGGTGAGAAGCTCATTTTCCCAAAATTTCAAATTTTTTCAGTGGAAAATAACAACATAAGAAATATTGGAAATCAACCTACAATAACTGAACTAATTGAAAGTACAGTCTCACACATTTCAAAGTTTTCCTGGAAAACTAGTGACGGGAAGATTTTGCAACTTTTTGCTTGTAAAGAGAAAGCTGAGAAGCTTATTTTCCCAAAATTTCAAATTTTTTCAGTGGAAAATAACAACATGAGGAATATTGGAAATCAACCTACAATAACTGAATTAATTAAAAATACTGTCTCACACAATTCAAAGTTTTCCTGGAAAACTACCGACGGGAAGATTTTGAAACTTTTTGCATGTAAAGAGAAAGCTGAGAAGCTTATTTTCCCAAAATTTCAAATTTTGCCAGTGGAAAACAGCAACATGAAAAATCTTGGAAATCAACCTACAAAAACTGAATTAGTTGAAAATACAGTCTCACACATTTCAAAGTTTTCCTGGAAAACTAGTGAAGGGAAAATTTTGAAACTTTTTGCATGTAAAGAGGAAGCTGACAAGCTCATTTTCCCAAAATTTCAAATTTTTCCAGTGGAAAATAACATGAGGAATATTGGAAATCAACCTACAATAAACTGAATTAATTAAAAATACTGTCTTACACAATTTAAAGTTTTCCTGGAAAACTAGTGAAGGAAAAATTTTTGAAACTTATGCATGTGAACAGGAAGGTGAGAAGCTCATTTTCCCAAAATTTCAAATTTTTCCAGAGGGAAATAACAATATGAAGAATCTTGGACAACCTACAATAACCGAGACAATAACTGAATAAATTGAAAATACAATCTCACACATTTCAAAGTTTTCCTGGAAAACTAGTGAAAGTAAAAATTTGAAACTTTTTGCATGTGAAGAGTAGAAAGGTTAAAGGCTCATTTTCCCAAAAATTCAAAATTTTCCAGTAGAAAATAACAACATGAGGAATTTTGGAAATCAACCTACAATAACTGAATTAATTGAAAATACAGTCTCACACATTTCAAAGTTTTCCTGGAAAACTAGTGAAGGAAAAAATTTTGAAACTTTTTGCATGTAAAGGGGAAGGTGAGAAGCTCATTTTCCCAAAATTTAAAATTTGTCCAGTGGAAACTAACAACATGAGAAATCTTGGAAATCAACTTACAAAAACTGAAATACTTAATTGTTAATACAGTCTCACACAATTCAAAGTTTTCCTGGAAAACTAATCAAGGGAAAATTTTGAAACTTTTTACATGAGAAGAGGAAGGTCAGAGGCTCATTTTCCCAAAATTTCAAATTTTTCCAGCAGAAAATAATAACATGAAGAATCTTGGAAATCAACCTCCAATAACTGAATAAATTCAAAATACAGTCTCACACATTTCAAAGTTTTCCTGGAAAACTAACGAAGGAAAAAATTTTGAAGCTTTTTGCATGTAAAGAAGAAGGTGAAAACCTCATTTTCCCAAAATTTCAAATTTTTCCAGTGGAAAATAACAACATGAGGAATATTGGAAATCAACCTACAATAACTGAATTAATTAAAAATACCGTCTCACACAATTCAAAGTTTTCCTGGAAAACTAGTGAAGGAAAAAATTTTGAAACTTTTTAAATGTCAAGAGGAAGGTGAGAAGCTCATTTTCCCAAAATTTCAATTTTTTCCAGTGGAAAATAACAACATGAAGAATCTTGCAAATCAGCCTCTAATAACTAAATAAATTGAAAATAGAGTCTCACACATTTTAAAGTTTTCCTGGAAAGCTAGTGAAGGAAAAAATTTTGGAACTTTTTGCATGTGAAGAGGAAGGTGCGAAGCTCTTTTTCCCAAATATTCAAATTTTTCCAGTGAAAAATAACAGCATAAGGAATATTGGAAATCAACCTACAATAAATGAATTAATTGAAAATACAGTCTCACATATTCCAAAGTTTTCCTGGAAAACTAGTCAAGGGAAACTTTTGAAACTTTTAGCATGTTAAGAGGAAGGTGGGAAGCTCATTTTCCCAAAATTTCAAATTTTTCCAGTGGAAAATAACAACATGAAGAATCTTGGAAATCAGCCTCTAATAACTAAATAAATTGAAAATACAGTCTCACACATTTTAAAGTTTTCCTGGAAAACTAGTGAAGGAAAAAATTTTGAAACTTTTTGCATGTAAAGAGGAAGGGGAGAAGCTTATTTTCCCAAATATTCAAAGTTTTCCAGTGGAAAATAACAACATAAGGAATATTGGAAATCAACCTACAATAAATGAATTAATTGAAAATATAGTCTCACATATTTCAAAGTTTTCCTGGAAAACTAGTGAAGGGAAATTTTTGAAACTTTTTGCATGTAAAGGGGAAGGTGGGAAGCTCATTTTCCCGAAATTTCAAATTTTTCCAGTGGAAAATAACAACATAAGGAATATTGGAAATCAACCTACAATAACTAAATTAATTGAAAATACAGTCTCACATATTTCAAAGTTTTCTTGGAAAACTATTGGAGGGAAAATTTTGAAATTTTTTGCATGTAAAAATGCACCGACCAAAAACCATCAAGCACTCCTGATTACACTATTCAAGCAACATACGCTACTGTAGCCAGCATGCCAACAAACTCCCTAAAACAGAAAAATCTTCAAACTAAAAATATTCCCAATATATTAATTAAACCAAAAAATACACAAGAGGCTACTACCACTAAAACTGAACTGATGGATGCTATCAAACCATCACAATTAAACATAGCAATTAAAAAAATACAGAGCACTAAAAAGGGAAGTATTGAAATAAAGTGCAATAGCATCCAAGATGTGCAAAAACTTAAAAAAGCGGCAGTGGAAAAATTAGGAGTTTCTTATCAGATTGAAGAAACCAAATTAAAGAATCCTCAAATAAAGATTACCGGATTTGATAAAAACATGACCAATATTGAAGTAGAGCAGGCAATAAAAAATCAAAATAATCTTATTGCAGAAAATGAATTATTTGAAGTTGTGCACATAAAAACTAACACAAAAAGTAACAAAAAACCATTTTTGCTGACTGTTCACCCACAAATTTTCAGAAATTAATTACAGTCGGAAAGGTCTTTATAGATTGGGAAAGATACACTCTATATGAAAGTGTGAAACCTCCTCAATGCTACCAATGCTGGGGGTTTTATCATAAAAATACCAGCTGCACCAACAAAGTTGTATGCTCATATTGCGCTAAGGAACACCCGAGACGTGAATGTCCTTATGTAAAAACAGGACAAAATCTAAAGTGTCAAAACTGCAAAGGAGCAAATGATAAATATAAGACAACCTATTCCACAGACCACGAAGCAAGTTCCCTCGATTGCCCAACTTACCAGTATCATACAAAAATGATTAGGAGCAGAATAAATTATGGTCAAGCTTATGGCTATAATGACTAATAACTTGGTAAACCTGATAAATATACTTGAAGATGAAAATTTGGGCGAAACAATTAATCCAGACCAGATTCGGCATAAACATGATCCCAACAACAGTTTAAATATACTCCATCTGAATATTAGTAGTGTTAGAAAAAACTTTGACAGTTTGGTGGCCTTCCTACAAACCTATAATTTAGATTTTTTTGATGTTATAGCATTGACAGAGTGCTTTAAACTGGACTCCTACAACGAATTTTCTTTAAAAGGATATAACAGCTATTATAACCAAGGTAGTATTAATAAAAATGATGGCGTTTTGACTTTTGTAAGGAGCAGTTTAAACCATGAAGTTAAAAGCCACACTCTCCAATCGACAAAAATAATAGTAAGTAGAATAATTTTGGATGTAAGCAGTGTAAAGTATGGTTTAACAATAGTGTACAGGTCACCCTCCACAAACAAAAATAACTTTATAAATGACTTTGAATATTACTTTAAAAATGACATTACGGAGAAAAATATTGAAGTAGTGGTTGGTGATATTAACTTTAATTTATTAGATAACCAAGATCCTCTTACTGTCACCTATTATTCAATGTTAACCTCTAATGGTTTTAAATCATATGTAAATAATATTACTAGAGAAAAAACAAAAAGTTGTTTGGATCACATATTTGTCAAAATGAATCTTAAATTAAATAACATAAAAACACTTTCGTATATCATAAAGACTGACATTACAGATCACTATCCAGTTTCATTAAATATTGCAACCAAAAAAGATAATAATAATAGCGACAGCAATACTGTGATAATCTCAGAAATTAACTGGGGACAGCTGAATGAGTTCTTTAAAGAAGAAAGGTGGGCAGAGGTATTAGATACTAACGAAACAGATCTTAGCTTTAGTAAATTTATTACCATTGTTCAAAATTATTTGACGCAAAGCAAAACTGTAAAAACTATTAACACAAAACACAAAAAGTTAAAGCCATGGATTTCACAAGGATTAATTAAAGCTATCAAAACGAGAGACAGGATTAAAAGGCAACTTCAAACACACTTTACAACAGAAAAAGAGATAGAATACAAAAATTATCGAAACCACCTTAAAAAGCTCTTAAATACAGTAAAAAACGAATATTATAAGCAAAAAATAGAAAGTAGCAAACAAGATATTAAAAAAACATATAAAATTATTACAGAAATAACAAACAATAACAAAAAAACAAAAAGTCTCTTAAAAATTACAGATACTAATAACAAAAATTTTGAAACTGATCTTGAAATGGCAAACCACTGTAATGAATATTTTTCAAACATAGGTCTTCAGATGCTTGGTAAAATACCTCAAGTTAAGTTAGAAAATAATATTGAATCAGTGAACAAATCAATATTCCTAACTCCAGTAACTGACAAAGAACTTATTCAGCACATCAACAGTTTAAAAACAGACAGTAGTCCAGGTCTCGATATGATTACTGTAGAACTTATCAAAAATATGCATCAGTATCTACTGGCACCCCTTAAGCATATTTATAATCTCATTTTTGAAACAGGGACTGTACCTGGCCATTTTAAGAAATCAATAATTATACCAATCTATAAATCAGGTGCTAAAAATCAAATATCAAACTACAGACCAATAAGCTTAATTGGTAACTTCGCTAAACTTTTTGAAAAGTGTCTAAAAAACCGCCTCACAAACTTTTTTACAAAAAACGGTTTGTTATCAAAAGACCAATATGGATTTACAGAGGGTGTCAGTACCACTGATGCAATAGACACCTTGCTCAAGGAAGTCACTAATAACATAAATCAAGACAAAAAGTGTATTGCTGTATTTCTGGACCTGGCGAAGGCCTTCGACACAGTCTCTCACAAAATACTATTGAGGATTTTAGAATCCAATGGAGTGAGAGGGACTGCGTTGAGGCTTTGTACAGACTACTTAACTGATCGGGAACGACAAACAAAAATTGGAAACGTTTTTAGCGGGCCGCAGAGGATTAATATAGGTGTCCCCCAGGGCACTGTCCTTGGCCCAATATTTTTTAATATTTACATAAAAGCTCTGGTAGATCAGGCAATAATGGCAAAAATAATTTCGTATGCAGATGACACTGTAATGGTCTTCTGTGGCAGCACTTGGGAAGAGGTTAGATCTAAGGTAGTAGATGGTTTGAAACGAGTCAAAACTTGGCTAGATACCCATAAACTTTCATTAAATTTGCAAAAAACCAATTACATAGCTTTTACGAAAATCGACAGAAATCGTCCAGATTTTACCTCTATAGAGATCGATACATTTAGCGAAAAAATTAATGAAGTACCACATGCAAAATATCTGGGTATTTTTGTGGATTCTAATCTAAAATGGACAAAACATGTTGAATATATCACAAAAAAGCTAAAAACTTTAATACATAGGTTCTATATTTTAAGAAATATTGTATCGAAGGCTTTAATAACCACATTATATCAGAGTTTAGTAGAATCCCTGCTGAGATATGGTATATTGGCTTGGGGTGCTATGTACAAAACTACTCTAAAACCATTACAAATAATTCAAAATAAAATTTTAAAAATCATCTATAAGAAAGATTACCTTTATCCAACACATCTGCTTTATAATTGCAAAATTAATAATCTAAGAATACTATTCTTTCATTCAGTAGTCTGTTTTGTGCATAAAAATCAGGATAAAGATATTATATCTCATGCTTATTCAACTAGAAATAATACAAAGAATATGCTAATTATACCGAATTGTCATAGCGAATTCTACCAAAGATCAGTTAACTATCTTGGACCAAAAGCGTATAATTTGATTCCTGACGCAATAAAAAGTAATATAAGAGCTAAAACGTTTTCAAAGCAAGCAAAAAAATATCTTTGGGAAAATAGAATAACATTTCTGAAACTGCTGTCATAAGACCTATCTATAATTTTGTGTTTTTTTCATTAAGTAAGTACTAGATTATTATCAGATAAGTAAGTAATTTTTAGGTTGTAGTGATTTTTCTTTTCTTTTTTTTCTTTCCGTAAGCGCGATCGTAAACGTGTAAAAAAACTCATCTCTAAATACAATTACAAAAATTTTAAATATCAAAATAAGCACATACAGGTGTTAAGTCATCTAGGTGCTTTAGTTAGTTATATATAATATTAGTATTGTAACATAAATTTAATGTAACAATATTTGTAACTATTTTGAAATAAATAAACTTGAAACTTGAAAGAGGAAGGTGAGAAGCTCATTTTCCCAAAATTTCAAATTTTTCCAGTGGAAAACAGCAACATGAAAAATCTTGGAAATCAACCTACAAAAACTGAATAAGTTGAAAATACAGTCTCAGACGTTCTAAAGTTTTCCTGGAAAACTACTGAAGGGAAAATTTTGAAACTTTTTGTATGTAAAGAGGAAGGTGAGAAGCTCATTTTCCCAAAATTTCAATTTTTTCCAGGGGAAAATAACAACATAAGGCATAAGGAATCTTGGAAATCAACCTACAAAAACTGAATTAATTGAAAATACAGTCTGACACATTTCAAAGTTTTCCTGGAAAACCACTGGAGGGAAAATGTTGAAACTTTTTGCATGTAAAGAGGAAGGTGAGAAGCTCATTTTCCCAAAATTTCAATTTGCATGTCAAGAGGAAGGTGAGAAGCTCATTTTCCTAAAATTTCAATTTTTTCTAGTGGAAAATAACAACATGAAGAATATTGGAAATCAGCCTCTAATAACTAAATAAATTGAAAATACAGTCTCACACATTTTAAAGTTTTCCTGGAAAACAAGTGAAGGGAAAAATTTGAAACTTTTTGCATGTAAAGAGGAAGGTGAGAAGCTCATTTTCCCAAAATTTCAATTTTTTTCAGTGGAAAATAACAACATAAGAAATATTGGAAATCAACCTACAATAATTGGATTAATTGAAAATACAGTCTCACACAATTCAAAGTTTTCCTGGAAAACTAATTGAGGGGAAATTTTGAAACTTTTTGCATGTGAAGAAGAATGTCAGAGACTGATTTTCCCAAAATTTCAAATTTTTCCAGTGGAAAATAACAACATGAAGAATCTTGGAAATCAACCTCGAATAGGTAACTGAATAAATTGAAAATACAGTCTCACACATTTCAAAGTTTTCCTGGAAAACTAGTGAAGGCAAAAATTTGAAACTGACTGAACTCCGAACTCCCTATAAATTCACCAAATTTCGATGAGTTCCTTCAAACTCCCCACAAACTCCTTCAAATTCCCCACATTTTTGGCAAATAATGCCTAGGTTGTTTGCCCCTTGGGTAGAGTATATCTAGGTATCCTTGAATCATTACTTATGCTGATACTTATCAAAATCTACAACCATTTAGCAGAATCTATTGTCAAGCCTGACCCTTTTCAAATTCAAGCTGTAACGCATTTCAGGAGTAGGTATTTTGATTTTAAATACATATACTGAATCGGAAGAGAGACGAGTGTATGTGACTATAGCTTTCCAAAATAAACTCAGTTTGTTTTACTCAAGATTCCAAATTAAACAATTCCAATTTCTAGGTGCGATAGATTCGGCAGTACCCTGCGCAATGATGCTCAACCTGGCCAAAGTTCTCAAACCCCAATTCGACTCAATAAAATCAAACTCGGACTTGAGTTTAAAATTAGTATTTTTCGACGGCGAAGAGGCGTTTGACCAATGGGGCCCCAGAGACTCCATTTACGGAGCGAGACATTTGGCCGCTAAATACAACAAGAACCAAAACGTGCTGAGATCCACTGGGGAATCGGTGACTGATTTGCAAAAAATCGATTTGTTGATTTTGCTGGATCTGATTGGCCATAGTAATGTGAATTTTTATAATTATTTTCCGGAGACTTCTAGATGGTTTAAGAGGATGGCCGATGCAGAAGATAGGCTTGACAATTTGGGATTGTTGAAGCCAAGATCTACTAAATATTTTGTTAGAAGAGATTATTTTGGTGGCAACATTGAAGATGATCATTTGCCTTTCTTAAGGAAAAGTATGTACCTCAATAACCCAAAACATTTTTATTGAAAGTAATTTTTCAGATGTTCCAGTTTTACATTTGATTCCATTGCCTTTCCCAAAGCAATGGCACACTCCTAAAGACAACAAAGATATTATTGACGTAAACGCTGTGGAAAATTTAAATATGATACTCAGGATATTTGTCACCGAGTATTTGCATATGTTAGTACGCAATTAATAATTATTTATTTATGAAGGAGGGTTGTTCCAAAATGTAGAGCTCATTTTTTTTCACTGCCTTTTGTGACAATAATCATCAATCAGATTTCATTCAAATGCCTCCCATTCCCATTTAAATTCAAGTTAATTTTGGAACTGCCTCAATTCTTGGTATTATTAAGTAAGAATCTCATTTTCTTTTGTTGATTATATACAATTTCTCATTTTAAAAAAATATATATATCAGCTTAGGCTGTTGTTAACCAATTTTATGTTATATACAGTAGCCTTTTGGATACCTCAGAAGAACTACCAGAGAAAGAATTATAGCAAGAAGAAAAGGGCTGGAGCAAGTATGACAAATTAGTGTACAAAGTGAACCTTTTAGGACAAAAGGCATTTTTAATAAGTTTTTTTATTTTCTGTTTTATTCAGTGAAGCAAGGTGAAGGATTTTTTTTGCTCTTACAGATTTCATGGTTATTATTATCGACTCAAAATCTTCCACATTTTATATCTATTAACAAATCAACATACAGGGTGAATAATTATGTATTTTTTTTAAAAACTTTTTATTGTCTAGTCTAGTATAAATAGGTTTTAAATATTTTATGAAATGTTTGTCTGTACTTAATATGTGATATGTTGTTATACAAATATTTAAGTTTATTTTATGTATTTTGATTATGTAAAATTGGCAGTCAGGAAATATATTGTTAAGCTCCATTACTGTTGCTGGGTATATTTATTTATGAAAACTCTATGACCTAAATATTTTGTATTTGGGGTAATTTTTTTATTTTTTTTTAACTTGAGATAGTACTTGTTGCCCATAACTGTTAGATACTGGACTTCCAAATAACTTACTGCTGTACCATTTTAAGTATTTCTTTATTCAGAATTAGAGCCACAGATGAATAAGTTAGTGCTCTTTACAAAGGGTCGGTTTCTCAATAGCGAGTCACCTCCGGGTTGGTTTTAACTCCAGGGTTAACATGTCCAGTTGCAATGGTTAACCTGGGGAGTGACCTGATATTGAGAAATCGGCCCAAATTCACACAATATTCATTGATAACAACCGTTACCACGACACGTCCCTTCGACAACAACTCATCAGACATTGTTCTGTGTCAGACATTCAAGGGAATGCGTTTTAAAACAATACATTCTCCTCTTCTACTTGAATATAATTTAATTTGAATGGTTTTCTAATTACTCTACCAGATCCAGTGGAAATATTATGAGGAGTCGGAGGATTCATTGTTTTGTTTAAAATAGATACGTAGGTACATCAATTGGATCTTTGCCATTGTCATTTTCTTTACTAATAGGTAATGTCACATTATATCTAGTGTCATGTAATTACCAGTAATATGTGGTATGCCAGAGCAGGGGTGACCGATATAGTGACGGAATGAGTTCAGTTTAGCTTGAAATAAATTTTTGAAATTATATTTCGTTTATTCCAAATGTCCGAACTTTACATGGCGCTGCGGACACGATAAGTTGTGAAGAAGAATTTTTCACAAAATACGTGAGTATTTTGTCGTAAAGAAAGTTGTCAAATTCGGTCTTAGCCACACGTTCCCTAATTAAAATAAGATGGAAACTTTACGACAACCCAAAGAAATGTCTCTTGAGGGTGATATCCCCACAAATTTTGAAAAATGGAAACAGCAATAATTCACCATCATTTATATGGATGTTTCTGGTTTGAAAAATAATACAAAGGTAACAGCTGAAAGGAAAGCTGCTATTTTGTTACATACAATTGGAGCTGGAAGTACTAGAAATCTATGACACACTAGAGATACCTGATGATGATAAGAAAGACTGGCAAAAATTATTACATCATTTCAAACCAAAAGAAAATGAGACTGTTAATGGACACCTATTTCTTACTAGAAAGCTGGTACAAGGTGAAACTGTTGATATGTTTGTGACTGACTTAAGAAAACTAAGTCAAAATTGTAATTTCGGAAATCTGCGAGATAGTTTGGTTAGAGATAGGATTGTATGTGGAATAGAGGACACTAAAGTAAGAGATAGGTTGCTAAGAGAGCCTCAATATCTGTAGAGCATCGGAGTTAGCTGAACTTCAATCAAAAAAGCTTGAAATTGAGACAAATGTTATTATTGTGAAGAAAGCACAAAAATCAGGAAATACAGAGAGTTTATTTCACAAAAAGATCAATATTAAGCCCGAAATCAAAGTGGAAATAGCTTTAGAACAAACTCAGAAAATAGAGTTGATAAAAAACAGTGTGGCAATTGTGGATATTTTCATGGTTCAAGATGTCCCGCATAAAGCATGTAACAAGTTTGGTCATTTTCAAAAATACTGTCATGAAAAAAGAAACATGAGTCAAAATGTATACCTATTTATTCGAAGCTGATGATGAAGAGCAGGAAATCTTTATAGGCACAGTTCAGAAAGTAAGACAAGTAGGTTTAGTTGGCTGGATGCAAAAAGTAATGGTCAATAATAAAGTAGCAATGTATTGGGTTGGTCCTCCGACTGGACTTGCTAAACGATCGAACGTATCAGCTTAAAGTTAATGGGGCTTAGTTACCCGACATAAGGTATACACTGGAGTGCCGCAACGCTCTGTACTTGGTACAATACTCTTTCTCATATATATAAGCGACCTGCCAATGAATCTCAAAACTAACTCAGAACTATAAACAGTTCCATTGCAGAAGATATTAAGCAATTTTGCAATCCCATCACCAGCAGGGAAGACCTCAAATCTAACCTACTGACGATATCCGAGTGATGTAAGTACTTTTAACTGGTTGATTACCCTCAACGAACACAAATGCACTTTTCTGAGTGCCTTTTTTCGTAGATTTCAGCTTCAAATCTGAGAATAATTTGGTGTATGCAGTTTGAGGGATGTTAATTGACCATTAGGATACAAAATCTCAACAATTTTTTTTTTTTTTTAATTTCATCGTTTTAGTAAGAAGTATGATTTAGATTTTGGAAAACTTTGGAATGGCATAACTTTTTTTATATTATAGATAGAAAGTTAAAATTTTCACTGAATCTTATCCTAATAAAGGGACTACAATCCCTGGAAATTTCAGCTCATTTGCACTCATAGTTCCTGAGATAAAATCGTGTTAAGCAGTTTGGGGTGATTTATCAATTTTTCAATTTTTCTGAGTGCCTTTTTTCATAGATCTCGGCTTCAAATCTGAGAATAGTTTAGTGTATGGAGTTTGAGGGATGTTAATTGACCATTAGGATACAAACTCTCAACAAAAAAAAAAAATGAAATTTCATCGTTTTAGCGTTGGTTTTAGTAAGAAAGTAGCTACCTTATGATTTAGATTTTGGAAAACTTTGGAATGGCATATCTTTTTTTCTATTATAGATAGGAAGTTAAAATTTCCACTGAATCTTATCTCAATAAAGGGACTACAAACCTTCTATTAATCGCGCGTGTACCTGATGAGAGATACATGCTGTAATGATCCGGAAAAATAGTCCCGCAGCCTTATTCTGTAACTTGCGACCGCAGAGAATTGCGCAATAGTCGCTGTCAAGTCGCTGTCAAACGCGAGTTTTCTATTCAAAAAAAGCAAGCAACTTGCGACCGGTTGCTGGTTGCTATGTAGTTGCTGTTCGTAGAGAATAAAAGCCTTCCGATATATACAACGTCTTTACTGTAAAAAATTAAATGTAATCAAATAATCAAAAACTGAATTTCCGGTATTTCAAATCAGTAGGTATCGATAAATTGAAAATGAAAAAAATTAGCGTTGACTCCAAATTAAATTAAAATATTTATATACGTTGAAAAAATTCTATTATTTAGTCACCAAGCGTGATGTCATCTCCTAACTCAATCAAATCAATGAACTTTTTAAAGCAAGGTCATAGTAATTAAATCGATGATTTATGGCATTCTTGAACCAAAAATTTTTTTGACCCCGATAAATCAGGATATTGCGACATAATTATTCGATTTTAAACAAATAAAAATGACAAAAATTTCAAATAGATTGCATCATTATTTTTTGATAATATCTAGGTCGGCCAATGAAATTGACTTATTGATGGTCAAACGACCGCCTATTGACGATTTTGGTGGATAATTATTAATACTTTGTGGGGGAATCGAAAAATATAAAACAGGCGATTTTAGAAGTGGAAGGCAGTTGTTAGTTGAGTTGTCAGATCAGTTCGCAATCCAGTCCAGTTTGAGTTAAAGTCTACAGTACCTGATATGTCAGTCCGGATAAAACAATTCGCGAAGAGTTGTTAGTTGAGTTGTCAGACCAGTTCGCAATCCAGTCCAGTTTGAGTTAAAGTCTACAGTACCTGATATGTCAGTCCGGATAAAACAATTCGCGAAGAGTTTCTTTTATTTTTGCCTCGGGTTTAATTTAACTTAGAAAAAGTACGGAATATTGCGAAAAAAAAAACATTTAAAGGCGTTCAATATTATGTGCGTGCTCTAGAAGTTTTTGAGTAATTAATTATTTAATCGAGTGACAAAGGCTCATACATCTCTGTGAGACCCACAATCTTAGAATAAATAATGGATTTTTCAAACACAAAGATATTCACCGCTACACATGGCTACAGAATACCCGTAACCTAAAAGCTATTATTGACTATGTGATAAGCAAACAAAAAACAAACATAGAGATAAACGACGTAAGAGTCTTAAGAGGAATAACTTGCGGGTTAGATCATTTTTTAGTAAAAGCCAAAATAAAGTTGCAATTTAGGAAAACGAACAAGAACCCAGAAGAACAAAACACCAATGCCATACTAACGGACACAGTGGATACAACAAATTATAATTTTGACAGTTTTAGAGATGACAGCAGTATTTCTATATCAGAGGCGACTCGATAGCAAACTATTGAACCCTGAAGAATGTACCTTAAATAAACTCTATGAGAATATTAAAAGGAGTCTAATAGAAGCCACCCAAGAAGCAATAGGAACGAAGGAAAAAAATACCAACAAGAAATACTGGTAGAACGAGAAGATAGACCTATT